GAAAGGAGAGGGAGAAGGAGAGAGAGAGATTGAGAGAGAAAAAAAGGAGACAGAGATAGAGAGTAACTGAACCTCATATTCATTCAATGAAATCCTTCAATAACAAAATACCTTTTTGCAAAGAAGTTGCACCCAGTAGCGGAATAGGGCATACTAGGATGTCCCTCCCAAAGGGTAGGTAGGAGTGGTGATAGAGGACAAAGCAGCAGTACCTGCTAAGGATGAGACAGGGGAATGGCTTGGGTGAGGGCAAAGCCACAAGGCTATAGCTTTCACATATCAGTGGGTCTACGGCCCTTCTAGAACAAATGCAGCCAGAGAACCACCAGCCAGGCCATTCTCAAATGATTAGAATGATGGTACATGGTTCTGACTCCCACTGAGGCCAAAGACAGCATACCAAAAGACAAAAATCAAGCCAACAAGCAAAAAGCCGTACCATTGCTAGAATCTGTGTTGCTGAGGGACTTTCTGGTCACTTTAGTGACCTTACCTAGAATGAGAATGTTTTCACATATTCTGGAAGTTTTTAGTTAAGGCCTGAATATTCTCCCTGCCTTCTCCATTCTGTAGGAGAATTAGGTACATTTGGTCCAAAAAGTATGAATGTGCTGTAAATGAAGGAAATGATGTCCAACTCACTAGGAAACATCAAATACAAATTGCAACAAAAAATTAAATGTCACTTTCATCCATCAGTTTAGCAAACATTAAAGATAAGTAATATCTAATATGGTCAGAGACATGAGAAAAAAGATACTTTCTCCATTATTAGTGGGTGTGTAACTTGGTATAGGTTTTTTGTAGGAGCATTTGACATTATCTATCAAAATTTGTCATAAGAACTCCATTTCTAGACAGAAAGATGTTTCAAGAATAATCATAAATGTGCACAAATTTCTGTGTGTATGTACAATATATATCACTGAGATTTATCCCAGAAATGGAAAATTGATTTAATGTATGAAAATCCATCAATATAATACAATATACAAATATAATAAATTACCAAAATGATCATCTTACCCAAAACTGAAAAAGCATTTGACAAAACCCAGCACTCTTTCATGAATTAAATACATACACACACACACACACACACACACACACACACACACCAAAGTAGGACTACCAGGGAACTTTCTCAGCTTGCTGAAAGACATCTGAAAAACACACACATACTTACTGGCAAAAGACAGAAAGCTTTCCTCCTTAAGACTAGAGACAAGGCTGTTGTTCTGACTCCTTCTATTAAACACTGTGCTAAAGGTTCTAGCTGGACAATTTAGGAATGAAAATAAAAGGCATCTAGAGTACAAATGAAGAAGTAAAACTGTCCCTTTTCATAAATGACATAATCTTGTATAAGAAAACTATAAGGGATCAGAGAAAACCTATTGGAACTAATGAATAATTTCTGCAAAGTTGAAGGATATAAGTAGAAAGAAATCAATTGTATTTCTACATACTTTCAGTGAAAAATCCATTTTCAAAATTAAGAACACAATTCCATTTGAAATAGCATCAAGGAGAATAAAATACTGTACTTTGAAATGAATTGAACCAAGGAGGTACAAGAAATGTACACTGAAAACTACAAAACATTGTTGAGTGAAACTAATAAAGATCTAAATAAACAGAAAGATATCCTGTGTTTATGGATCCAAAATACGTTATGAAGGTGACAGTATTTTCCCAAGGCCTTCTGCAGAGTGAACACAATCCCTGCATGTGCAGAAATGGACAAGCTGATACTAAAATTCACAGGGAGCTGCAAGGAACCCAGATTATATCATCTGTGAATAAAGACAGTTTTACTTTTTCCTTTCTAATCTGGATGTGTTTTATTTTCATTCTTAATTTGCCTAGCTAGAAACCTCTAGCACAGTGTTTAACAGAAGGGATCAGAAAACAGCCAAAAAAATTTTGAAAATGATGGTGTGAGTTGGAGGACTCACACCTTCTGATTGGATAACTTACTACAAAGCTATACAAATCAATTCAATAGAAGAAGGAATTTCAATAAATGGTGCTAAGAAAAACTGTACATGCTTATGCAAAAACATTCATTTGGAACCTTACCTCCTACCATATACTGAAATTAACTCAAAATGGGTCAAAAACTGGGCATGGTGGCACAGGCCTTTAATCCCAGCACTCGGGAGGCTGAGGCAGGAGGATTGAGGTGAGTTTGAAGCCAGCCTGGGCTACATAAGTGAGTTCAATTCCAGCTCGCACTATATAGTGAGACTCTGTTGCAAAACGAAACAAAACAAAATAAAAAATGATCAAAGCCCTAATAAAAGAGCTAATATAAAACTAAAAACTCTTAGAAGAAAAAATAGGAATAAATCTTCATGACTTTTGATAAAACAGGAATTTTCTTATACGTTATTAAAAGTTCAGACAGAAAACAAAACATAGATGAATTTGACTTCATCGAAACTACAAAAAATTCTTGTATCTCAAAGAACAGTATGAAAATTGAAGAGGGCTTCAGGGAAGCATTTTGTTCCCAGCGTCTCAGCAGACCTGGCTCATCAGTTACCGGCTGTGCGGAGACATTGTGACCACAAAAACACAAAGGTGGAGGTTGCTTGGAGGGACCAAGAGGCTATCAAGGAAAACAATAGGCAGTAGCTCTTTAGTGTGGTTCCCGTGCCCCGGAGCCCCGTATTCAGTCTGGCAGTGTCCTGCTACATCTCTGGCTTCCTTTTTCTACATTTCCAAATGGACCATTTCAAGCTGGCATTCCTTCTTTGGATACATACCAGTGTGTTTCGGGGAAGAGTCAAGGCCTGCCCTTCTTACTTTCTATACGTTTACAATTTTGCGCCATGAACAAAAATCCATTAGGCATGCCAAGCACTGCACTAGGCATTGTGGGCCTGAGGGACACTTTATCTAGGGACATTTACAAGTCTTTGCATGTAGGTCTGTTTGCCAGCTACCTGGAAGCTGGAGACAGGATGGTCAATATACCTGTCTCCTTGGGCTCCCCACCTCACCTTTCAGTTTCGTTCCCTATGTATAGATTTTATGAGTCGTCTTCGAGTTCTAGGAGTGCCTCCATATGGCTCCTAAGGATCCTTTCCAGGCAGAATTCTTCCCACAACAATACAAGGAACACCTGGTCACGTTATGGGAGGCAGCGAGTGTGCATGTTTATGTGCTGTGAAATATTAAGTTCGATGCATTAGCTCATTTACTCCTTGAAACAATCATCTTCAGTAGACAGTGTTAATGGTCGCCATTACAGAGATGAGGAAACAGGAGCAGAAGGATGGCAGGTAACCTTCTCAGCGTCACACACTCAGTAACTGAGCCAAGACTTTAACTCACATCTATCAATCTAGAGAAGGCATATGCTTACGCACAACGCCAGATACTGCCTTATCACATGCTCATAGCATGTTCAGTCATCCTGAATTATCAAAAGGAGACAAAAATATGCCCAATGCCTTTTGGGAAGACAAAAAATTGCTATATATTTTTAAAAAAGACTTCTACCCAAAGTGAATAAAAATATTTTAAGCACTTGTGCTTAAAAGAGTAAGCACTAGTTATCAGAAAAATCCCTGACAATGCCAAACCCAGGAGGTGTTTCTGTATCATCTAGTATTCTTAGAACTGCAAAGACACTCAGTATACCTTCTGGCAGCTTCAGAGTGCAGAAATCATTGGCAACTTCACCAGGTTTTTATTTGAAAAATTAAAAAAAGAAAACGCTGTGATCTGTTCCATAGTAGACATCATTCCATAAGGGATATAAAGTGCTGAAGCCATATCTACCTCAAAAGACAGAGAGAGAGAGAGAGAGAGAGAGAGAGAGAGAGAGAGAGAGAGAGGAATCAAATTCAGCAATAGGGAAAACTGGAATAAGATATTCTGAGATAGATGATGTAGCTTGATGCTAGGGTTAGATTTAGGAAAAATCTGAAGGAAAAGTTTATCTGGGGCAAAGCTAGTATGACCAATAATCATGGTAATAATAATAATTCCCAACTCAAGAAAATTACTGTGTTTTAGCCACTTTCCTGGGAGCCAATGTCCATGAATTAAGGGAAATGTCATACCAATCTTATGAGACAGGTGGCACTATTACTCCCATTTTACAGGTGGGAAGACCTGGGTATAGAGGCACAGTTAAGTAACATGCCAGAGGTCACAAAGCCACGGGTGAAAATTGCTATTTAAACCGAAGAAGGCTAGCCCTGGAGTTCATGCTCAAACTGCTATGACTGTCCACACATAATGCTGCTTGTGCTTCTCCACTAGTGCAGGACATTTCTGTTCCTGGCCCTATGCTAAGGGTACATTCGCAGTCTTTGCCCTAAATTATTATGCAGTTTCTCTTTTGCTCTTTGTTAAACAACCTCATGAAGTAGCTAGTATTGTGTCCATTTTACAGGCAGAACCACTGAGGCACAGAGAAGTCAAAACGACACATGTGTAGAAGTATAGCCACCTTTCCAGCAACACCACCTATGCCTGATATACCACAATACAAATGAGGCAACAGAATTTAATATGCTCTTTCTACCTCAGGCTTAGGTTCTCTCAGCTCTTCATGTGCTCTGTTCCCAGATGTTGATGGGAAAGACTGACAATGGCCTTTCCTCTCTGCCCAACTCAAGGGGATTAAAGTGAGCTCTGAAGCAGCCAGTGGTCCACTTTTGGTTCCTCGGTAAGGATGTACACCCACAAAAGGTCTGTCTCAGCAAGCTCTGCCGCTGGAAGCCTGTTTGTAGGACTTAGATGCTATATGCCAAAGGCATCCTTTTTTGGGTCATGATTTGGGTTTGTTTGGTTTGGAGCTGGTTTCTGAAAAGGACAGACACCAACAATCCACCAGTCTCAACTCTGGTTTCTATAAAAGGTCACCTCTGCTTAGCTTTGTGGCTACTGGCAACGAAAATCAACCAAGTGCTTTTACTACCAACCTTCCTTAGCAGAGGAAAAATTAACGACAATGAGGCAGGTCAGGTGGGGAGCCTTACCTCCACTTGAAGGGGTGCGCATCCTTTCAGGAACTCATTGATGTTGCTGATGCAGCTGGCTTCCGTTTGGGGCTCCAGACAGTACTAGAAAAACATAGTCAAATGTCACTTGGGAATGGTCATCCCATGCCCAGCAAGCCATATGCATCTCTGCTGATGATTAGAGAAGGCAGGAGGTAACAGTGCTGTGAATCCAGGAAGAGAAATAACCACTGAAGGAAGTGATGCAAATCACTAAACGGTTGGTTTTTGTTTCAAATGTCACCAAGCCGTTTCTACTCACAAATGTTCTCTCAGGTCTTTGAGCCAAGGGTGGTGAGATCGAATGAGAGAGACCAAGACACATTGGGAAGTGCAGTTCAGTTATCGCTTTCAAGCAAGAAACTGATACTTTAAGCCTCCCTCATTCCCCTCCACGAAAACTTATTGAAAGTATATTTCCCCTTAGCTGTTCTCCAAATTTGGTCACATTTCTGTATATTTTGTCAGTTTCATAAGTTTAACAAAGTGTTAGTTATTCTACTTGCTCAATAAAAATACAAACTGGCTCAAGAAGGCAAAACAGCTATACTCACAGCCATGTTCCCTGAGGATTTTAACAAAATAATTTTAGGACCCTACCTTTATGCTTATTTAAACTGGCTGCTTTAGAAATTATTCATTATTATGATCGTGGGCTTCCAGCATAAAAAGACGCCTTCAGTTTTTTTAAGAGGGCAAGTTAGTTTCACTTTGAAGACATGCTGCTTTCGAAACATATATTCAGTTTCTCTTATTTTTACAAACTTTATGTGACAGTACGGATTGGTTTTCCTAGCTGCTAAATAGTCCCTTCTCCAATAGGTGTGTTCTGAAAAGGAATTTTATATCAATTTTTAGGCAGATTCTCAACAAATATCATCAAGATCTGTTATAAATCATTCCATTCTCCCAAAGACTCCTAAGTACCCCAAGTTCAAAACATGTCCCCGGTACACTGCGAAGTATAACAAATATCTCCAGGACAGAGCAAACTTGTGATATGGGTGTTTTCCTGTCCCCTATTGTCAGTGGTGCAGATGGTTTTTACCATGCTAACTGGAGGTGGGGGTTAGTAAAGCATAACATTTCATTTTCCAACTTTTTCAACCTACAAAAACAGAAAGACTGCCTTAACTCTTAGCAAGATATTAGAGTAGGAGATTCCCGTGCACTGGGCACTAGGAAAGCTCGAGTTATATTATTGCTGCTCTCTGGTGGTAAAGCAACTCTGAAGATACTGCAAATTGACCCTACCTTTTCCACCGAGCCAGGCATAAGTCTGTTGATCAGTTTGCATAGCACTACCCCATTTTTCAGCGAGGACTTCAAGAACTCCTCCGGATCGCAGATGGTCTTTTTTGGAGAATCCAAAACGCCAAGAGATATAAGCCATGTCACAATTCGCTCTTCTGGATTCATTACTGCGGATGGTACACTCTGAACAGCTCTCTGGGGCCGCTGCAAGGACTAAGCCACATCCGTGATTGCATCTGCTGTTGTCTTCCTTTTTATGAGTTCTCCTCTGGTGCTTGCAGAGCAAAGGTTTAAAACAACTTTTCTTAGACAATAGTGGAATGCGCTGGAAACGTGGGATTTTAAAACCACAGAGATCACACAGAGATGTGGAAACAGATAAAGATTAATGTGAAATCCTGGATGACGCTGGTTTTCTTTTGTAAAACCTGCAAAACAAATTTATTAGGGTAAAAAAGGAAGAAGAAACGTACACAGCCGCGGCGCGCGCGCGCGCGCACACACACACACACACACACACACACACACACACAACCTCCCCCCAAAACCCAACAGTCCAAGAAGCTGTAAGGAAAGGAAGTGAGGAGGACCCTAGGGAGGGAGGAGAAAAAAGTAATCAAGTGCTTGAGAACAGAGGTGAGCCAGCACTTCAGGGGCCCTTGGAAATGAGACGCTCCTGGGCCAGTCTGGGAAAACACCGTCAATAAATAGTCTAGTCCCAGTGAAATCTAGCTTCTGTTAGGAGGAAGGTGCCAACTGGCTCTTAGGTCAGACAGATCTAAGCCTTATGGGGAGCTGTGCTGGCACAACAGAGCTCGAAGAGTTAGGGAGGCTGAGAAATTCCTCTACGAAACAGCCCCGTGTCCTCATACTATCTCACAGAAATGCTCAGTGTCACGATCACTCTTGGCAAAACGCGTTGAGTCTCATGGTGTCGACGTGCCAAGCGAATGAAGACGGTGCCTGCTGTCAGCCATCTCTGTGTATAAGCAGAAGCTAGAAGAATGGCATTTTACTTTGCAGCCAAAAAGCTATGTTTAGGGAAATAAGCTAAGGATAACATCTGACATCCTGTTTACTTGCATTCTTTAGCAATTCTTTTTCTGGACCTGGTTCCACTACACAGTCCAGCTGCAGTATCCTTAGCAAAGGCTCAGACACAGTCCCATAAGTGGGTAAAATACACTTAAAAACAGAATGCTGAGAACAAAAGAGCACTTGTCCTCTGTCTACACTACAGACTTGAAGGTTCATGTTTCCCCAACAAGAAACACTCCGCATTTAAAATACTGCTCTGAAAAAATAAGTTAGTCTGTACCAGGAGATCTCTATTATTCTCAAATATTTTCAGAACCAGTTAAAATAGTCATACGATTGAGAAATGTAGTGCAAAGCCAACTTTAATAGTATAGCCTTATGTTGGCAAATGTGTGGCATTTCCACCCCCCTCACCGCATGGGAGAGACATCTGGTCAATCATAGCTCTTTCCTCCTAAGCCTCAGAATCCTTTTCAACACAGCTTCAGGCGTCTACTACCAAATCATCAGCTTAGATAATCCTGATAAACATTTTCAAACTTTTTCTTCTTGCTCCATCGTAACACTTAGCACACTTTACTATTATTTTGTGTTGACCTGTCCCCTACACCACAGTGTAAGCTTCCTAGGGTTAGAGTCTTGTTTAACACTCTGTCCGCAGCACGGTGCTTGGTACACACCATAGATGTCCAAACATGCAGAGTGAATGAACAAGGGAATGAATGAATGAATTCAGAGAGTATCCCTGGTATAGACATTATCTGATTATAACAAGAACTTTGTATTTGTTTTAATGGTGTAAGATACTTTTCCTTGCTAATTCCTTTTTACAACTTTATCAAGATACAACTGACAACATAAGAAATTGCACATACTTGGGGTATATGATCTAATGAATTTTGACATATGTATACCCATTTGATGCAATCATGCCCACAATCTAGATAAACTTTTCCATCACTCTCAAAAGTATCCCTGTGCCCTTCCAACCCCCTCCTCCCTTCCTTCCCCTCTGCCCCCACCCATTTCAAGCAATCAACAATCGCCTTTCAGTGTCTTTAAGTTAGTTTGTATTTTTAAGAATCTCGTATAAATAAAAGTATACAGTATGGTACTTTACTTACGTGTTTTCTTGACATTATCATTTTGAGATTTATCCATGTTGTTGTGCCTATCCATAGTTCTATAATAGGGGTTTGACCTCCATATGTTTGGGTTGGTATACTTACAAGCAAAATAAATATAGTTAACCAAAAGTTTTAACTGACTTTTCCCCATGCCAAATCTATGTAATGGAAACAAAAACAGAGTCCATTTGCTGATAAATTCCCAAATCTGACCTACTTAAGCACATTTTTCTATGTCATTTGGGCATTTTTCCCAAATGGTCATCAAAATTTTCCTCTACAGACAAACAAGATCTGGCAGTATTATTGAGGTATCACTTGTACTTTCTGATGAAGAACAAAGCTGGAGTAATTTCAGGAACCCAGCCTAGTCTAAAATAGGCTTGAGCCCACTGAACTCACTGGGATGTCAATGTGCCTCATTTTGGACACTGGCTATGGTGAATTACTATAAGCAATAAAGAAAAACCGGAAAGGCAAGGCCACTGCCTCAAGGCAAGAGAAACAGTCCTATTGAGATGAAGATTGGAAGGTGCAATTAGTATGGTATAATGTCAGGAAAGCTAGGAACTCCAAAGCAAGCAGCAAGCAGCTAGGTAAAATGAGCAATCACAGAAAGCAAGCTGGCCAGAGAAGCCCGGGAAGACAGAAAGGAGCTGATGACTAGGGGAATAAGGGCCCGGGAGGTGGGAATGGGTCCTGAGGTCACAGGAACACAAAGAGAAGACTTCCTCACAAGACCATGAGTAAAGAGAGCAAAAGTCTAGGCCCACACCTTCTAGGCTACTGAACGTGGCTCCTCAAGGGCTTGTGCACCTCCTCCCCTCATGCTAATAAACTCCCTCAGAGAGCACTGATGGCTGGTTTTCCAAAAACATCCTTGATGTTTATATCCCTGCTTAAAAACACCTCGGAGTCTCCCTATTGCCTAAAGCAGTGATTGACAAACAGGAATGTTGATAACACTCTTGTCCTGGGGGCAAAAGAGGAAAAAGAAATGAGAGAATGGAACATGAGCTAGAATAGGTAGCATTTTATTCCAAATAGGACCTACAGGAAATAAGGCAAGTGTGAATATTTATTAAAACCGGAAGCTGGGAACACTGGGACCTCTTACACTATTTTCTTTTATGTGTTTGAAATATTCACAAGTGATTTCGTTTTAAATTTCAAAGTTATTGGAGAACTTCTTACAAAGAAGATTTGGGGGCCCTCTTTCCAGATATCCTAGTTTAGAAGATCAACAATGGGGCAAGGGAGTCTGTGTTATTAAATCCCCTCACACTTGAAGAAACAAATTGGTTTCTAACCTTCTACTCCACTCCAGTTTCTGCCCACACCTAGTTCACAGGAACCACAGTCCAATATCATGGCCACGCACGTCTCTGAGCTCCTCTACCTGCAGCTGACACATTACCTCTCAGTCTGCCTTTGTGCAACTTTGGTGAAAATGGACCTGAGACTGAAATATTCTTTTACTTTGCCAGCTGCCACAGTATTAGATTTTATCAGTAAGCAATAGTGGAAAGACATTGCGGGAAGAAGTGTTTTGCTTGCTGTTTCCTGCATGCCCTTGGGGGGCTCTTGGTGAGTTCTACGGGCTCTTGGTGAGTTCTCACCTTTCCTGGTGCCCACTTTCTGCAACATTAGCTACCCTGACACACAGTGGGCAGCAGCTTCCCCTATCACTACCCCTGGACGATTCTGTAGCAACATTTCTGGTAAGACACCTCCCATTGAACTGATACTCTAGCACATTTTCAGTGAGTTCCAGAGGGCAGATGTCCAGCAAGTTCGCCTGACTCAGCACCACAGCAACTTCTGCAGTAAGGCCTGGATCTCAGCCCTGGGCACAAAGGAAACTTGTCATCGCTCTACGGCTATTGGCTGTTACACATTGTTTTGATATTTTCTGCTACTCTGTACTACATATACTTTCCCCTTATATTCTTTTACAATTCATTGTACTTATTGCTAGCCAATCTCCTACCACTCCAGTCCTCTTTTATCATTAATTCTTTACGTTAAAGTTTCCTGTTCAAACTACTGCGTCGTTTCTCTGTCCTGATACACCTTGTTATCTTCAAATAACACATCCTCCCTAGCTTAGCAAGACATTTGCAAGGTTCCATCTTGGACTTTGTCATCACACAAACTTCTCAGCCTCCTAAATCGTGAGTGCAAACATTATAGTAGCTAAACAACATACCATCTTTCCCATTTACTATCTTTTCTCTTCTATAAAAGACTTACTCATTTTTATTGCCCACTTTTCTACTGAGTTGTCTTTCTGTTGTAGATCTGTGAAAGTTTATTATATGTTATGGATGCAGAACTGAACTCAGTTATATATGTTTGCAAATGTCTTTTTATACTCTTGTTTTTCATTCTATGATGAATTGTAAGAAACAGAACTTGATTTTTAAAAAATATGGTACTTTATCTCACTTACATATAATGCATCCAGAATTCAGTCATGCAAAACTAACATGCAGCTTTATAGTCGCCAGAGACTCAAGTTCTGCTCTCCTGCTACGGTGCCACATGTAGCTTTTCATCTCAAAGTCAGAATGACTGCTTATGTGAAGCTGGGTAAGTCAAGGATTTTTTAGATTTCATACTAATGTCACGAAGAACAAAAGAAAAAATAGATAAATTGATCTTCATTAAAACTTAAACTTTTTGTGATTTAAAGGGCACCATCAAGAAAGTGAAAATATAACCCAGAGAATGAGAAACATATTTTCAAATTGTATACCTTATGAAAAGGGATTTGCATTTGGATATGTAGAAAGGACTCGTAACGCAATAATAAAAAGATAAATAACTAAAAGTAAGCAAATTATAAGAACAGATATTTCTCCCAAAAAGATACAAAAATGGCCAATAAGCACACAAAAAATATACTCAACATCATGAGCAATCAGGGAAATGCAAATCAGAACCACAGTGGGACTCTGCTTCATTCCATTAGGATGGCTACAATAAAAGATAGAGATAATAACTGCTGTTGGTGATGGTATAGAGAAATTAGAATCCTCATACATTGCTTGTTGGTATGTAAAATAATGGCACTCCTGTGGAAAAGGTTTTCAGTTCCTAAAAATTTTAAACATAGGTAGCCATATGGTCCAGTAATTCACCCCAAAGGAAATGAAAACACATGTTCACACAAGAACTTGCATGTGAATATTCAAATAGCATTATCTGTTATAACAAAAATGTAAAATAACTCATATAGCCATCACTTGATTAATGGGTAAATTGTTGCAATATGATATTAATTATAAATAATGACGATGATACGT